CACTCGGCGTGATGGGTGGCGGACAATCGAATAATTCTAAGCCTTCCTCGTAGTTTCTGTTTAACTTTCACTTTATCAAGGGAAATTCTGAAATAATTTGTTTGATAATTTGTTTGATCTCTTCTCTCATGCCACATTTTTTACACTCGCACATCGCGTGTTTAAAGAATCTCCCCGCTTCTCTCACGATGCGTTCACGAGTAAGGTCGATTATTCATCCACCTGTGTATTTTTATTTCACGTATAGCACCTTAAATAACATTCCTTCTTACTTTTTAGTTACAATTCATGTGAGAATTCGCTTTTACAGTAAAACGCGGTACGATGTTATTAAAAAGTTGGCGTATATCGGAGAGACACGCGAGTCTCTCTTTCTCTCTTGCACTCGATATACACATCACGTACTCGCTCACACGCATTACCGATACATGGACAAGATGCGCGTGTATATATGCATTCATTATGCGAAATTGTATGGTATATACACGGACGTGCATACGTGGCACGCGTATCCAGTTAAGAGATATACGTATGGTATATGTATGTACATATATGTACAAGGATACGTTTTGGTCGTGTTGATCACGTGCGTGCGTGAACGTGCTGCACGACCACGGCAGCTGTGTGTACACTTAAAAAAAAAAAAGAAAAACCGTAGCTCTTACAACAAGAATAGTGATTTAAGACATGCTTGTAGAGTATTTAAATCGCAGCATAGGTGCATTCAGCATGCACCACGAACTATTAGAGTCTACGTTGCGAATTTACGTGTGATTTCTATCGCACGTCCTTTTCTCGAGACTCGCGCGAAAGTGTTCTTTGATCTCTGTTTTACTTGTAAAGTCGTGTTTTTTTTTGTTTCGGTTGCGCGGTACGAGCGTTGATCATTGGAGCACACCGACAGCTTCGAAACGATATTATTTAAATCAATATTATTGTAGACAAGACAAACGACTGGTCGCAAATAAACATATTTTACATTTTTAATTGTCTTCTTATTTCTGATATATTTATTATATATTCCTTTGTTCATCGTGCAGATTTATAAAAAGATAAGCTATGCGTTTTATAGTATATTTAGTATAATAATTTTCTTAGATCTATATCTTTAGTATAATAATTTTCTTAGTTTGCAAATGACTTAAATATTTTTCATATACTTAACATTATAAATATCATTTCAAGTTACAATAGAATTGAGAATAATAGTAGCGAATAAATAATATTATTTAAAACGAAAAAAAAATAATATATACTTGTAAACACTATTTCTCTATTTTTATATTGTAAGTAGAAAAGCATCAAGTCAAGGAATTACTATTGAGTATATTATACTATTATATCTCATTGTGTGTGATTATTGTGTCCAACATTTAATTTACACATTAAATTTCGCTTATAAAGAAACAATTCAAATGGTAGACTGAAATTCTTTACAGGATCGTCGAAGCCACTTGTGACAATAATAGCCGAAGCTCGTCACACTTCGCCAGAGCCAAAAACGCACAGGAGAGATTTCCTCGCAATTGAACGAAGCACGTTGTGGAATGTCTCGAAAACGGAGGATCCATTATCCGATGATTTACCGAATTATTCTCGTGCTGATCAATCGTTAGATCAACCGGAATCCTCGAATTTTCTGGGACACAATTCTGGAGTTTTGCAACCCAGTTTTTCCGTTGTCGAATCCTACAATACAGATACATCAGAGACTTTTAAAGGACCAACATATCCACCGTTTCCTTGTCCTTTTTGTGATAGGGCATATACGAGTTGGGGCTTCCGTAGAAGGCACATAAAAGCTGTGCACACTATTTCTCCATCTCTTAATTGCAAATGGTGTTTACAAGTGAGTTTGTAGAATTGCTTAATCAATTTTAAAATAAAAAGCAAGTTAAATTATATGTCACATTTGCATTTATACGACGGGTAAGATTTGATTTTTATAATTATTCTATACATGTATAGATTCTCCCTACGCACGCAGCTTGGAGACGACATGTGATATCAGCGCATAATTTATCAGCCAGTGACGCACACAATGGTCTCTTAATTTTGGAAGAAGCACATATGGTCCTGCAAATAGCGCGTCCTACCAAATTGGATACATTGGTTAACATTATTAAGCAAAGTTCACAACAAAACTGTGATCATGATAATACTCAGCCTGATAAAGATTAGGTAATAATTATCACAGTTTAAATTTTTGTATATCAAGAAATTATTCCTAATCTTTTAATAAAATTTATATCGTTGATGACCAGGGATGGGCATGTATTTGAAATACTTTTATTTAAAACACACTATTTGCAATACAAGTATATTTTGTATTTTTTATTTTAGCGGATCGAAAGTATTACGTATTTTGTATTTACAATCGAAAGATTGAAAGCTTTTTGTATCTTGTAATTCAAATAATAAGATTGATTATCAATTTTGGTATTTGAAATACAAAATACTTTCATAATCTTTTTTGTAATTAATACTAAAATATAAAATACAAAATACTTTTATATGCCATGAAATACAAAATACAAAATATTTTCATGTACTCTGAACAAATACAAAATACAAAATATAATTGTCTTACCAATACTGTTTTTCAAATAAAAGTATTTCAAATACATGCCCATCTCTATTGATGACACCGTCGTGTTCGAAGCAAATGCAAATTTATGTTTTTATACTTAAAAATTGTAAATGATTATATAAATATAAAATATATTTTTAAATAACAATAATCAAAATTAATTGAATTAAAGACTCCTTACGTTAAATACAAAATTACAATAATTAATCAAGTACAATATTAATGGCTGTACAGAGTCAAACGCTGTTTTCAATGCGTCAATTATGAACAAATATATCTTTGATACAAAAAATTCGAACGTTTCAGTTCCATTATTTGGACCATCATCAGCGATAATATAATATACAAAATGCTACCTAATGTTGGAGAGAATGGTGTTGAAACGCAATAATATTAATATATTATTCTCTTATTTGCCAACAGAGATAAGTTCATCACTTGGTGGAGTGAAGGTGTAATACGATTATTTTAAAACCTTGGAAGTATGTTTGTGAAATATATAAAACAATAGAATTCAATCAACACTTCAAAGGAAATTATTTAAAAAAAAAAACATTAAACGAGCTTACCTCTGCTGACCGACAAAAACACAATTCCATAATTACAATTATAAATGTCATGATGTGTTTAACTGACAATTTCGTCGTTATAGTGTCAGTAACTGACGACACCTAACAATGTAATGAAGACTGTTAATATTAAACGATATATATAAAATAAGCTTTAGGTCAAATTATATTCAGTTACCGACACTATAACGACGAAATTGTCAGTTAAACACGTTATAACATTTATAATTGTAATTATGGAATTCTATTTTTGTCGACCAGCAGAGGTAAGCTCGTTTAATAATGTTTTTTTTTTTAATAATTTCCTTTGAAGGATACTGATTGGATTCTATTGTGTTACATATTTCACAGACATACTTCCAAGGTTTTAAAATAATCGTATTACACCTTCACTCCACCAAGTGATGAACTTATCTCTGTTGGCAAATAAGAGGACAATATATATTTATATTATTGCGTTTCAACACCATTCTATCCAACATTAGGTTTCATTTTGTATATTATATTATCGCTGATGATAGCCCAAATAATGGGACCGAAACGTTCGAATTTTTTGCATTAAAGATATATTTGTTCATAATTGACGCACCGAAAACAGCGTTTGACTCTGTATAGCTATTAATATTGTACTTGATTAATTATTGTAATTACATATTTTTAATATACATAATGTATATATAATAATTATACATATATGTTACTTCGAGATTTATACGTATATTTTATCTATGATCGTGAATGTAAATTACATTATTTGTTATGTTTTGTATCAGGTTGCCATCAATTTATTTTTAGCTATTTTGTCAAAAAATAATCTAAATATTGTGTGTTTATAAGATTGAATATACTATAAAAACATGACGAGCTAACATATATTTCTATATGAACTACTGTGATGGATAAACATATATTACCAAACATTTCTAAATATTGTTTAAAAATGTTTAGTAATATATATGATTTTTTTTATTTATAGATGTTACATATTTAAGAAAAATTGTTATGTGTGGCTAGTATGCTAATATGTATATGAATACATATATTCCGAATTCAAATTTTACAACATAATGATAACGTGGAAAAAAAATGTTTTTTTATGTTGTATACTTTGATATTTATTGAAAATTATAGTTATGATAACATAATTATAATAGTGTAAGATTTTTTGTGGAGATCTATGATATGAATTTTACATTCTGTTTATTATTGTAACTGTATTGTTACTCTTTTCATTAACCAGATTTTATAATTAACTATGTTGGATCTTGTATTATATTTAACAGCAATGAACAAATTAGAATATTATTATATTTGTTTTTCTTAATAGAAGAATAATTATTACCTTCATGTAAATCATCAAATATTTATACATCTTTTCATGAACACATTATGCGCGTAACTAGTATTATTATAAATGTATAATATGCTATTTATAATTTGAATTATTTATTTTGAGTTATTGATATTGATGAATACCATTTAATAGATGTTTGTGTATTGATAGAGAAATAATCATTAACTTTTTGCAATAAATTAATTGCAAAAACGCGCATATTTTTAATTTTTTGTTGTTGCAGTTATTTAATTAACAATTTGTTATAAACGACTTTATTGCGCATTACAGATTTATGCTTTTATATCTAGCAATTACAAATTGAAATTATATATTGATTATTAGATGTAATCGAAAATTTTACGAGAAATTGATTGTATTTTAATCTCTACTAAATTTTAATTTGACAACCTTTTTTCTTTTCCAGATTAGCCGTAACTATGACAAATATATATATGGATAGAAAGAGAGAGAGAGAAAGAGAGAGAGAGAGAGAGAGAGAGGGGGAGAGAAAGATAGAATTTTATGAAACATATAAATGTAATTAATGATTTTGATGTAACTCTGATCTCTATTTGTTTATAGGTCAGCAACGTAGCCTTTGACAGTAATGCCTGGTGCTATCTCTGTAGTAACACTATCTTTGGCGTTTTCTTCATTCCATGCGTTCTCTTTCGCATACTTTTCTGACATTAGGATCATTTCGTTTGGACTCCATTCTGGCGAATCTTTGTGACTATCGTCGCTTTTGAAGGCAGTATTCGATTCGTCTAAGTCGCTATGATGAAATTTTGATGATTTTGGCGATTCTGGTGATGTGACACTCTCATATACAGGATTACGTTTCATCGAAGCACGTTGATGAGATGTTTTCCGCAGCATCGCCTAGAATGACGAATATCTTTTGAAAATTGTTATAGCAACATGTAGTTTTATCTAAAATTTGGTGTATAATTACCTGATTTTAAAAATATCTTTATAAAAATAGAAAAAATGTTTATATTTATAAAACATAGATATGCGTATTTGACTGTGGCTACGTTTATCGTGCGCTTAGTTCGCGACCTACGATAGATGTTCTCGTTTAACTTACAGGATAAACAAGGACACCTATTGTATAGACCGCGGTCTAAATGCACAGTATAAACGTAGCCACTGACTTTGAAAGATTAACATAAATAAATTAACATATCTTACTTGAAAGTTGAATGGAGGTGCATCATCGTTTTCATCATTGTTGTTCTTGCGTCCGATCATTTCTAATTCTTTGATAGGATTTATTCTATAATGGAAAAAATGATATCACTAAGAAAAAATTGATTAATATCGCCATAAATTTGTCTCAATCAAATAAATGATTACCGAATATCATTGTTAACATTGCGATTAATTTTGTTTTCAAACTCCGTATTGCCATTTTTGTTTTGAATATCTGACTCATAGTTGTTGAAATTGCGCATTGTCGATGTTTGTGTTCGATTTAGTGGTACTGATGGCAATGGTACTTTCTTCTTAGAGTGTACTAATTCAGCTTTATAGATGTTCTATGTATAAAATACAAATCTTTATATATGTATATAGAAATTGAAATCAGGGTATTATTGCAACTATGTACTTTAATATGTATAAATTCTCGATATTTTTTTAAGTATTATTTTGGATATTTTTTTTAACATCAATGTTATAATTTTGCAATTTGAAATATTTTATCAAATTAGGTACTAGATGTATAAATAAATAAAATTTGTATATTTTTATTTTATGTGAAATTGAATAACAGAAAATTCGTTGAAGATTAAAAGTGAAGATTTTAGCAATAATTAAGTTTAAGGGGCGAGAAGAAATTAAGATTTCTAAAAGGAAATGTTTTTAATGGAAGCAGTTTTTAGTTATCCAAGATAAACATGGTATTATGTAATCACAACAGCTCATAGTTTGTGCAAACTTACGGAGTAAGGAGTATAAGATTCGGAAGATTGAATGGAACCGTGTTTATTCGCACGTTGAAAACTAGAAATACTACGGCGAGGTGGCTCTTCGGGTGGACACTGAATAGGAACATTCGGATCCCTGGTGAATGGAGTGTTGATTAAACTTTGCTCACTGTTGACAGATGAACGATGAAAAGGCATGCGATGTGGTGAGTTTGTTGTTTGAACTTCAATATCTAAAAAAATGTATCAAGTGAGAAAGAAGAATTCACATTTTTTCATAAATAGTATATATGTATATATTGTATATATTGTATATAATATAACATGCCAGCAGAATGACAAATTTATTTAATTTTGATTTCTAGAACTCTTTAGAATTTCCTTATAGCGCGCGAATTTAGGTACCTCTGGTGTGAATATTTTTATTGGCCCAGGGCACGGTTTGTCTACGTAATGGCGCATCCCAGGATTCCTGTTCATCATCGTTTAATGTAGATGATATAGATCTACGAGAATATCTTTTTCAGTTCATTTTATAAATTGTCGAAATGCTCTTAAAATTCTTATTTTTTTAAAAAGCACAATATGAAAGAACATCTGAAGACTGACATGTGAAAAAAAGGAAATAAAAAAATAATATTTATCCAAAAATGTATATAGAACATCAACAATCTTAATCCTTCGGTGCCACTCTAAATACAGCATATTGGGTTTTCTTTTTCCAATGCTTTTTTAATGCTTCTTTCATTGTTTATAGCTTTTTTTTTTATTAAAGATACATTTTTATTAATAAAAATACCTATGTACATTTGCTTGATACCATTATGTTCTATAATGTCTGGCATTTCAATCGAAAACATTTTTTATAATGTATTTATTTTTATGAAAGCTATAAGCAATTGAATTGATTGAGTGTGCTATATCCAAGTGTGTTGTTCCCATAAGTACCGAAGAGCACCAAAGAATTAATTATGAAATTATTGTACTTGATTTCTGTACGAGTGAATTGAGTCATTTCATATACACTTTCTCCAAGTTTTATCAAATGATTTTTAAAAAATTTACTTTACCAACTCTCATGTGAAATGCATGTTTAATTCTATTTCTTATAGTTTTCATTAATTTTTACTTCTATTTTATTAATTTTTATATTTACTTTTATTAAATCCATTATAATCTCTGTGTTTGTATATTTGCAAGTTAAATTAGGACATTTTTAGTTCGCAATGTACAAAAATTGATATGATTATTTGATAATCCGTTGATATGATTATTTAAATTTCGCGCGCGTGCGCGTCCTTGTCATCGTATGCGTACAGGTCAAACGCGCATCCGCCATATTTGCGGTAAGTTCGCGCCGCGTCGCGTTTGCAACAAGTCGAACTTTGGTGTCGTTCCGCGTTTTTCGTGTGTATGGTTTGTTAAAAGTGACTTCTGTCTGCAAAGAAATGCAGGAAATATCAGACAATCATCGCAACATGCGTATATATGCTTTTTCTACGATATTTGATTTTCTTCTAGAATCACGAGAATTAACGGCTTCTGATCGGTATAAAAGTTAAACGCGCATCCGCCATATTTGCGGTAAATTCGCGTCGCATCCCGTTGTAAAGAAATCCGATCCGCGTTATTGTGTGTTACTTGTGTTCGATGAAAATGACTATTGCGTGTAAAAAAGATTGAAAGAATATATTGGAAAATTGTCGCAACGTTTGAGCATGCCTTTTCCACTTTTTATGATATTCAATTTTCCTTTGCGACAGATGCAGCATTGAGATGGAATAACGAGCACATAAGGTGAATTAATATTGGTAACTAAATTTCGCTTGTATTTTACTTGTGTACCGTCATTTTGCGTGCTAATAACTACCTTCCTGTCGGAGATCCCGCTATCTTGTCAGAAATCGATTGTCTATCAATTGTATATTGTAAATTAAAGTTTTAATGATTTTATTTTTTTTTTAGAGAACGTACTACGTTCGTGTTGCTTGTACTTTTTGCACGTAACATCTTCGGTTTCTCTCTTTCTTCAACGCTCAAATATACATATATGGTTATATATATATTTTTTTTCTTTGAAGTGCAAAAATTTTTGGAGATTTTAAGCACCGCCAACAGATCTACAATTTTGCTGGCGATCAATCTCTGACAAGATAGTGACCTTTAACAGGAAGGTGACAACCATGGTAACAACCGATTTTATAAATTTTTATTAAATATGAATGTTAAAGTCTTAATAATTTTTTAAATGTAATTTTTTGGGTCCAGAAAAATTTCGCCCTATTAAATTAAAATTTCGTATATACATTGTTTAAAAGTTATTTTACATATTAAATGTTAAAATTTTTAAGCACTTAATAAAATTATTGTGTCTAAAGATTATTTTGTTTTAATATGAAGTTTTTGTTATCTCTATTAAGGGGTAATTGTTAATTTCAAGTGTCTATTCATGTATATATATGATAAACTTTGTTATAGTATCAATGTTTTATATTTATAATATACATATATTACATATTTTTAGTAATATTCCCCATCCAGGCTCTTGCTATGGACTGAAGTTTAAAAGATATTTTAAGTAACTTACCCTCGTTTAATATTTATATTTGAAGGATCATTTATGTAATTCATATCGAAATACGGGAGTTCTTGTTGTATATTGAAAGGTAGTTTATATACTTCGGGTGGTTTCACCTGACTTATGTAGGCATCTATTTTGGCACTTGGATCGACTTTTTCAAGAGATACATTTTTATTTAATTTCTTCAAAGCTGCCATAATCGATTGATTATATAGATGAACCTATTACATAAACCTTTGATAATTTATTTGTAATTTTTATCAAAAATTTTTATATCGTTTTATTTTATAGAAAAAAATTAGAAAATTTATTCTAATTAATATTTTTTACATGTTTTTAATTGATTTTTCGTAAAAATTGTTTTAAATTCTTAATAACATTTTTTGTATTAAAAATATTTAATTTAAAAATTAAAAGAAATTGTAAATTTTAATTAAAAAAAAGCGATAATACCTGTTGCGATAATTGTACGAAATCTTGATAGCGGGCTGCACGGTACCATAGGAGGACTTGAAATATGCTTTTCGATCTCCATTTGCTGCAATAGAACTTGATGAAATCCTTCGTCTCTTGGCTCATCTCTTCCTTCAATAAGGGTCCCATTTCTTTTCTTGCTATATGCCCTCTGAATGCTGAACAAGTATAATAATAAAATATAATTTTTTGACGAGTTTACAAATGTTTTGTATATAAATTACAATTTGTTTAGATATACTTGGATCAACATGTGAATCCTTGGATTTGTTTATTGTTGATAGTACTTTATAATGAAAAATATGTAAAAAGTAGGTGAAATCATATTTTAATCAAGAGTTAATATTAGTTTTTATATTTTTTAATACCTACTTTTCTGTATCATCAAAGCCGCTTCTTCTTCAGTAAAAGAGTTTCTCTTGATTGACGCTTTCCTCACTGAAACTATGTTTTACCATCTTTGAAATATTTGAAACTTTGCAAGAATGTTTGAAAACCACCCAGACAACACAAAGTATCCAAAAGATAAGACGTCTTTGGCGTCTAAAAGACGTCTTTAAAATGTCTTATGTCTCAATGTATTGTCTGGGCACATATAGGAATAAGTATATTTATTAAATTGTATATAATTAACGAATCACATTTATTACGATTTATTCGATCGAAAATTTACTTACCAATTTCCTTTTTGATATCGTTGATTTTCAAAGCGATATTTTTGCGTGCTAGAAAAGCACGCATCATGCACTGTATTTTTATGATTTTTCTCACTTGGGTCTCGTATAAATGGGATAGGTATTCCTCATTGTAGTACTTTAAAAAGACTTTACTTTTGCCAATAATCCATCCTTCCATTTTTAATCTGATCAAAAGTAGTCTGCAGTTGTCTTTCGTCATCTCTACTGTTTCGTCAAAATCGAAGGCTAAAAACTTGTATCTGTAATTAGAAAGAATCGCCTTTGTGTTTTATAATACGAAGTAGTATAATAGAAAAATACTACTGCTTGATGATTAGTTATATAAATTACAAAAATCCTTATACATTTAGCTTTATATTAAAGTTAATTAAGCACGTTCTTTCTTTATAATTTGTTAAATTTAATTAAAAATATTATTTTATAAGGCATTAAAGGATTAAAGAATTAAGTTACCTTCGAAGAAATTCTTGAAAAGGTATCCTACACGGATATCCGCGTCGTTTGGCTTTCGCTGTATCAAGAACTGCTAACGCTCTAATTTGCTGTCTGACGATTTCCCGGTAAAAGCTACGAGGAGCATCCTCAAGATCGGAACGTATGCATCTTACAAAATGCGTGCCACCGTTTCCCGCGCCTATCGCGAGATTTTTCAGAATTTCAAGACTTGTTGCTCTAAACGTTGACGAGCACGTTCGCATTTCTCGTGTCTGCGAGTACTGTCCTCTGGACGCAGTGTTATATTTCTGTTGAATTTAAACGAAAGATTCCGTTACGATAGTAAACTAGAAGAGAAAAGTTCGTGGAAAGTTCATTTTTAAGTGCTTCTAATGTTTAAATTAAGAAATGCTCCAGATTAGAAAATGAATTAGTTAAAGTACTTTTTATTGAAATTAAAATAGAGATATATCAAATATAATATAATTTATATATATATATGTATAGGTATATATACATATATCTTGATATAATGAGAGATACTTTTATTTACGACCACTTACTCGAAACATAGAAGATTCCTGCATAAGGGTACTCCATTTTGTTTTCATTGTTTTCTTCGCCGCGAGACAATGTTCGTGAACAATTGTTAGGTTCCCCGACTTGGTTAGCTTGTTGGTGAACATCTCTTTGACTGCATCGTGTGAAGAGTATCTCATCGTGTTGATCACCTCTGGCGGTACGAAGTCTCGATTTTTCGTGGCAATTTCGCTGGCATCATATATCAGCTTACCAGTATAATGTGCGACTATGAACTCGTGTGAACTCACCGATTTTATGTGAGTGCTATGTTTATGTTCTTTAATCCTCTCAAGAATGTACTGAGCGTCTTGCATTTGCCGCGAAGCATCATCGATAATATGAAAAAGACCATCTCCTTTGTTCATCAGTTGATCAACTGCTTCCTTGTTATCGTAAAAGCGTAATCGTTGAATGGGTATATCCTCCTCTTCCTCTTCTTGCTGAAACCGTAAAAAAAATACAAATTTTTATAATATAGAATTATTAATTATACATTTCGTTAGTATATTGTTGATTTGATATATAGCTACATATATGAAGTTCTTATGATCGTGACTTAATTAATTTTAAATCTTATGGAAAATGTCCTTCGGTTAAATTGGCTGGAATTAAAATATGTTATTGTCCTCGACGTTTTGAACAAAAGTCTCAACGGACACGACTCTCTAAATTCAATATTTTTCCGTCCAAAGACGTTTGAAGTACGTGGAAACCATGTTTTACTTCACGAATCAAATATATGAATATCTCTCTCTCTTTTGCTCTTTTTCTCTATATATATATATATATATACACGCATATGAATATGTATACATATGTATATATTGTATATATATATATATATATATAGAAAAAGAGCAAAAGAGAGAGAGATATTCATATATTTGATTCGTGAAGTAATATGGTTTCCACGTACTTTAAACGTTTCTGGACGGAAAAGTATTACATTTAGAGAATCGTGCTCATTGATACTTTTGTTAAGGACGTCGAGGACAACAACATATTTTAATTCAAGTCAATTTAACCGAGGGACATTTTCCATAAGATTTGTACGGGATCCTTTATGATGTAATAGCATATATTTAACTATGTTCGCGAATATTAAAACGTAAAATTATAATAGGATATAATTCCTTTAAAAATTTTATACAAATAGAATATAGAATATTTTTATTATTTATACAATAAGAAAAATAGATACTGAAATAAAATCTTACGAATTTGATATAAACTAATATATACGTATTTTAGATTATTCATTATAAATTTTTACCATTTCCCAGGCGAATACTCTTTGATTATAATAATATTGCATTTGCTCGTTTATCGTATTCACTAGTAATTGTTCCAACCGATTTATTGAGAAACATTCGAATCCAAAGTGATCAAGGATGCTGATAGAATATTTATCACCACTGAAAATTAAAGTAAAAAAGTTTTAAAAAATCTCGCCGATACAAAATCCTCATCAATATTTTATTTTTTCTGCACTTCGATAAAATTTTCACTTACTAAAGGCTACGAGTCATTGAAAGTTTATAATTGATGATGTTGATTATCCAGTCTACTAAACGCTGATAAAGAGTGTTCGCCAAGACATCTCGTGCCTCTTTTGCTTCTTCGCAAGTATGTTTCTTACGTACTGCTGATCCCTTTACGACTAAGCAATAATTAATGAGAGCCCAAATAAATTTCTTTGAGTCTAAACCAAGAAGTTCCGCTACTGCAATTCGCAAAAATTAATTAGTTTTCGTGTCTCGTGGGCAAGGTACATATTTCAATGTGATTTAATCTTTCATGCATTGCATTGACAAATTGAATTCTTCAAATTCAAGTTTTTACCTCTGTTAGCAATTTCGTTATCGTCCAACTCGGCCTCTCCATTATTGCCTTCAACAAATCGAATCTCCCCGAATATCAGAATCGCTGCAAGGATTTTCCAAATAGTCTCGCAATACTCTTCCATATCCATGAATTTAAAACATTCCGTAAGTTCTTTAAATTTAACCACGTTGTTTTGCGGATCATTTCTCACTTTGAACGCTCGTTTCTTTTCAGTATTCTTGTCGGTTATTTTGAGATATCGAAGTTTTCTTCCATTTAGTAAGAAATATGGTTTTAAATTTTCTGATGCTTCGAGACCGTCATAAAAGTAGTAAAAAACATGGAAGTTTGATTGATTTCTGAAAAAGTACTTTTTCATTATGACATGTTAATACACTTTTGCGATTTATTATTTCATATTTTCAATTTTACAATTTTTTATTGTATATTAATTAGATTATATTTTAATTCATTTTATTATTTTTATTATTCCATTATTTTTGTACTTTCTCAAATTGTAAAAAAATAATTATTAGCACTGCATATTTTCGTTATACACGCCTGTATAATAGCAACCCGTTGTACATTGAAATATGGAATACAATATATTCTTTGATGCCTTAACTTTCGAAAATAACTATACTTTACAAAAATTAAAAATCTTTAAAAGATTAGAGTCTTTAACTAAAAATCTGTATAGCATATGTTATGTTATAAGTAAAAATTTCATTATAATATAAATAAATTACCTATCGCGAGTCGAAACGCGCCATTTTTCAAGCTGATATAACCAGAATATCGCCCCCGATGCTTTGCCGGTTGACCCGAAAGTCAACTGAGTTTGCAAAATGCATCTGGTAGAATTAGCATTCAGTGGTGTCCCCGCATTCGTAAAAGCATGAATAATTTTTATAGCTTGCAGTACTCTTGCTCCGGTATTGTGCAGACCCTGAAAGTAAAAAGAACAAGTTTTCTCATAATTTTGTTTATATATCTAATATGGTTGCATCGAGCTCACTTTTCCGAGGAATATAAGGTGTTCCATTAAATGCAGCATATTCGTCGTTTTCCCGGAATTACTTTCACCGGCCAGCAAAATGTGTTGCGGTTCTTCGTTGAGCATAACATCTTGAAATGCGCTATCCGCTACGGAATAGATGTGAGGAGCGTTATCTGATCGCGATTTGCATTGGTATTTTGCGTGATGCTGCAAATAAAATTGTTCAGATTTTTGTTGTACAATTTATAATAACATTGGTTTGCAATTTTATTATTGAACATACATTATTAATAATTTACAGAGTTCACTTTTTTAATTTATGGGATTATAATTTATTTGATATGTAGTATATAAAATCATAAACAAAATTTAAAGATAAATCGAAAAATAAAAATACGTTTGATATTTTTTACATTATGAATCGATCATACACATAAATATTGCTTATATTATGCTTATTTATACAAATTAATAGACTTTGATATTATCTCATTGTTTTTTGTATTTTATATTTTTTAAATTTCTTTTTATTATATTGATATTTTTTCTATTTAATGTTTTTGATAATGAAAGTTTTAATATTGGTTTTAAGAAAGAGATAAACACAATAATGTCGTTTTTGTTAATTTTATAAAAAAATGATCCAAATGTAGAAAATCTAATATAAAACTTACGTGAACACCGTAAATATCGTTTTCCTCGTTTGGGTTGAATATCAATAAAATGTCGCCAATAAACGTGTGATATTCACCTCGCCGCAGTCTATCACGAAGTTCATCCAAGATCACATCCTCAGTCAAAGTATCCAGCGCTGCTAAGTCCTCCGTAAGCATTTGTTCCGATGGTTTATCCTGATGAGTCTATCGTGCAAAAATTAAGATTTTCTTCTAATATATATTATAAATCCATCATTCATAGTTCAACTTGCGCAAGTTGTTACCTTCAAAAAACCTTGATGAACTATTGATTCGGTTTTTCTTTGTTTCCTGCCCTTCTCCGAGAGATCCATCGTCAGTGCTTTTATTTCTTGTGTCAACTAAAATATCATATTGTATATGTATACTCATTCATTTTTTTTATTTTTACAGCAATTTTTACATTTTCTAATTAGAATATTTGTAGACTTTAAAAAAGAAAAGGCAAATTGAGGCTACATACCTATTATCTAAGATGTTATGAACAATTTTAAATCAAGGAAATATTTAGAAAGATGTAAAATTTTTTCATTCTTAATAAATAATAAACTTTAATTTATTATTATAATTTCCACTATTTTAGTAATTAATCGATTAAGTTTTAAGGAATAAAAAACCGAATTATGTAATAAAATTTAATCTTATAATACTATTGATATGTAAATTTTACGTATAAGTAGAGTAAGTATTGAGCTAAGCTATGCCTTCAGTGATCATTAGGTTCCATAGCAGAGAATATGAAAAATAATTTCAATTTTTAAATAGTTTTCTGTTATTATACATTTTATTATATATTTTGTTTAAGTATTGTGAGAAGACACACACACAATTGGACTACATATTTTAATTTCCATATCATCTCAAGATTGATTTTGATATCTTATTCTTTCTTTTAAGTTAATAATTGAATTATTTGTGTTTACAAAAGTCTAAATTTTGTAAATATTTTGTCATTAAAAATGTGAAATGTATGAAAAAATGTACGAAAAATTTACGTATTGATAACAATTAACATACTGTATCTCAACAGCTATAGTACTTTAGAGTTAAGAATTCTGGAAATCCGACAATTTATTGACGACATTTTATAATCATGCATCGTATAATTTGTCTTTTCTAATTCAATCTTTTAATCTACATTGTACTAAAATCGTATATTACAGGATAATCGTTTTCGGGTAGCTCCGATAGAAAGGGATGCTCGATGATCTCCATCATGTATGGTCTGTTCTCAGGGTTCTTTTCGAGGCACCTGAAACGAATATATCGCTGTAGCTTTCATGTTATTTCATTTGCGATATTCGTTCATAACAAAGAGATTTTCGTATCTCTCTGATCACGTACTCAGAAATGAAATCATTGAAATTTTTTGACCAATTGGCAGGTCGGTAGAGAGTCGGCGGCGGATTCCGGACGATCTGGAAGAGCGCACGAGTCGGATGCATGTCCTCGAACGGTGCTTTGCCGTCGGCCACTTCTATTGCCGTAATGCCGATCGCCCATACGTCGACTCGGCTGTCATATCCACCGTCGACTCCGCTATCTTTGCTGCCAACCATTTCCGGTGCCATCCAAGACGGTGAACCTATGTAAGTGCGCCTTTTTTCAAGTTCGTTCTTCATTGTTCTCGAGAGCCCAAAATCCACTAATTTCACTTCGCCTTCTTTCGTTAAAACGATATTGTTGCCACGGATGTCTCTGTGGATTACGTTGTGTTCGTGCAAATGGATTAGAGCCTGAGAAAGAAACAATGTGTAATATCTGCATTATTATCCGATCTATTTTGTGAAGTTGAGAAATTTTCGTTGATACAGGGAAAGGTTTTGCTGAAGTATTTAAAAATTTAGCTAGATACAGATCTGAAAATTTTGTTGAACCATCAAAACAATTATATAGCTGGTTGCTAGAATGTCAAAAGTTTTTGCAACATTGCTTATCATGTTTGAGATTTCTATATAATTATTTTTTGATGGTCCAACAAAAGTATTTTCAGAACTGTATCTAACTAAATTTTTAGATAATTAAACAAAATTGTTATTTCCATGTAAAATTAGAAGCACGTAGACAAAAGGCTGTCAACAGTTGATATCCTCAAGGAGAAAACTTGTTATATACTTGGAATCAATTTAGTAATAGAAAAAATACTTTTTAATAGTGTTAATTTATTTCTTTTAAAAATTGACAACTGTAAAACACTATTATAGCATTTCATGCTATATTCTGAGATCGTAGAACTTAAGAACAACACGAACGTAATATCTTCGAGGTACGGTGATGCGGAAGAGAAGTTGGCAACTCGGCACCTTCAGCGTCTCGCGAGAATCATCTTTATAGATTTACTGCAAATTGAACAATCTATAATTTGTGGCCGACTGTGCTTACAGCGCGTAACAAGCGTGGGTCAGTGAACAGTTCTGACGTAGCATGGGTATGAAATCATTAATACCTGGTTCATCAGAAAACCGTTTTAAAGCTACACTCCGAAGCTAAAGCTGAGCTACCTTATAAAGTTACTCATTATAAAATTTTATTTTATTTATTTTTTATTTATTTCCCGCGTAATCTTCAACTTATTTTTAATATATTTTTATCTATATTTGATAAATCTTTTATCAACTAGCTATAGTTTTAATCAAGAAACAATTATTTTTATCTTTCTATTTAAGTTCCCGTATATTAGACTTATTAATCTCAATATCAAATAATTTCAATTATTTGTGATATTGTTATTTTTTTTTAAAGAGGATCTATGCAACAAATTATTATTTTTATGAAATTTATATTTTGTTGGATAATGCACTCGAAGATGTTTCGACAAATAAGACGGAAAGATATAGGAAATAATGAGTGTCCGTTAATGAATGTTCATTGATCGGATGGTAAGACAAGAAATAGTTACAAGAGTAAGGAGGAAACTTTCAGAAGGGACGAACGAATTGTTAATTGGCGGATAAAGATTAAACGGGATATAACGATCGCTCAGAAGAAGCATACTGGTAGTTCATCTTTCGTTCTTTATCTGTTTCCCGTGCTCTCTTTGTGTTTCTGTTTCGAGCACTGCGTTTGCTGCGCACTTCTCTTCGCGGGCATTTATTTCGCGTGTAATTTGCCGGCATTAAACGTCAGCGTGGTCTGATTTACCGCACGAGTGACCGTGGACGAATCGCTACCGGGCCCATGGAACACGTATCTGCGAGGAAAGAGCATAGAGGGAGAACGGGAGGAGGAAAAAGAAAGAGGGAGACGGGAGGGTTGCGTGCAGTTTCCAAGGTGGATAAGGAACGGCATGAGCAATTGGAGGGTGAGGAGAAAAGGCGGGGAATGCTGGACCCGGTGGCGAAGGGCATCGGATTGTGCGTGCACGGGGCATACCCGAAAGGTAGACCCACATAATGATTTAGTGACAAACTGCTTGGATCGTAAATATTATCGCCGTGAGCCATGAGCCACTCGCGAGAGAAAGAATGCTGGGCCCATTACACGTCGTGCCCTTTCGCCGCGCTTCCTTGGTGAACTTATGAGGGAAGAGAAGTGGATTTCGAGAGAAATATCTTTTTCTCATCACATGAAGAAGAGAAGACCTTTGTCAGTGATACTGCACGAGGTATTTGATAGTTGTAATTATAAACTTTAAAATTAGAAAGAGAATTTGCACATATTTATACGTGTACGATTATATACATCTTCCATGCTTTTAACTATACGATTTTCAATTAGTATTTTCAACAATACATTAGACTTTAAATAATTTTATTAGTTATCAAATATATCTCTTTATAATTTTAATTTATTCTTACTATAATATCTAATATTTTTTCCTTCCTTTCTTGATTTATTCCGCGTGTGATATCCTTTTAGGATATAGCAAGTATTGCGTTTCTTCTCTATTAAATATATTCAATTATTGACATTTATTATATTTCTAGAAATGTTATCAAAAACATCAATTGAAAATTATTGATTTTAGATTACATATATATCTGAACAATTTGAATTAAATACGTTTCTCATTAATACATAAAGTGTTTTAAATATAAACGGAAATATATATACATATTTTTTTTTCTATTGAAGAGAGTGTGAAGACTATACTATAATGTAGTTGTTGATTCTGTATTAGCAATTTATCTTGCATGGAATTTACCGGTGCATGGAATACATGAGGGTAATAAATATATTTTGAATGCTTACTGTTTAATGGCTCGTGACGTTTGTCATATTGGTCTACAGTTACAATGTTGTAGCGGTTGAATAATTATATAAAATAGAGGTCAACAGACAAATCTGTGCAAATACTGGATAAGATAGAAATTATCATACCATGTTAACAAACGGAAACAAATTAAATTTTTTAATTTGTCGTATAAAATTTTATTTCCTCGTTTTTTATTATTTAACGTTCTAGTTTTAAATCAGATTTCTCTTTTGTTCATTTTTTGCTATAATTCCTATTAAAGTGATAAAATAAAAGAAATTTTTAATATTATATTATTCTGTTAGTTAAATAAAATTGATAATACAGTAATTAGTAATATTGTGTTGCTTTACTCATTAGTTTAATTATTTCATTTTTTGCATTTAAAACACTCATGTCTTTACTATAGCTAATATTAATTTTGTGCAAACATTAATATGATAGTAAATAAAGAAATAAATAATGAAATATAGAAATATAATGAGCAAGGAAAATCAATGACACACGAATCAAAGCGGAAATGGTCACTTAAGATCCTTCCTGTGGCGTGCATCAGTCATTCGCTTTTTTCTCGATTCTCATCTTTATTTTTCCTTCCATATATACATGTAGCTTCTTAAGTTCGTTGAGAAATGAGCACGATATCCTCACTAATTATCCGACCTCCTAGGAGAAACCGGAATCATGGAAGATAGCATCATTGTAAATAAGCGAATCCGTTTTCTGTGACCATTAACTATTAAACAAAATCATAGCAATTTATGAAACGGAAGGGTATTTAGCTCTCCGTATCCCATTCCTCTTTTATTTTTTTTATTTTCTTTCTTTTCCTATTTTGATCTTCTGTTTTTGATTTTCTTTATTTAAGTTTTATTCGGATTGCAGTTTGTGCTTATTCGCGTCATCCCATTTCCGGCTCGTTTCGTCATCTACCAGTTATTGCTTTCTTCTTTTTCGAAACTTTGGAAAAATTAACAGCACGGCTTACATTTTATGATTGTCGTAAACGAGGGTAATATTCTATTAATGCGGCGGTTTAAATTTATCGTGACGTTAACTGTATTTTCCATTAATGTTAATAATGATCAAAAGAAAAAATTAATATTTGTACTGGATATGAATTTTATGAATTTATTGAGTTATTGCTTTGCTTTTGAGACCGTTATTTTATTGTTTTGATTAAATTAACTGTTAATTTATTCGTATATCTATACGTATTATAACATTTTGATAAAAATGTTTTAAACCATTTTATTTTTACTTAAAATACGGACGAATTAATTTTGATTTGAAAAAAAATTAAATATATCTATATGTATTGTTTATTCAAGAAAGTTTTTATATAACAGAATTAGAACGTTTTGTCCAATTTGCATATTTAATTTTTTATCTTATGTTTTATTTAATTTTTATATTGCGTGTTATTACATGTAATTATCGTAAAATTGTATTTAATAAATATAATTTTATTTTCATTTTAGTATTCCAGTAGTTCCAATATCTTTTAAAATTTAAAATTAAAATTTTAGTCATTTATCGCGTAGTTATCATAATTATTAGTAAATTGTATTTTTGTAAAGTCGCAAAATACTTCACTTTTTTGCGTCTTATAATTGCACAGCAATATACTTCGACGCCAATGCATCTTCTGTAATCAGAGGGGGATAATCTGCCGCAAGATAAAAGCATCGTCTGGACATACCATCGAGCATAATTATATCGTAATAACGCGACTATTGCTGTGGCTATACACCTACTATTATCATTTCTGTCGGTTCACTGGTGCGCTCTGTCATGCAAGTAATATTTATTACGCTCGGTATCAAGAAAGGGAGGAAGGAAACAGAACGACGAGGGATAGTGAGGGGTATGGTGAGGGGTAGATTGCGGCACAATTTTGCTGAACATTCCGCGACGGCCACCTTTCTCGGCTACCGACGTATATAACTTCTCGTACCCGAGCAAAAACTAATTACCTTAGTCAGGCTCACCCGTTTTCGGTCAGTCGGATATTTTCACGTTATAACATCCCTTTACTAATAATTTATTATTAATCTTACGTCTTATGCAAAAGTCTCTTACTTAGAAGATATTTGTCACTTATCTTCATTAATTAATTTTATTTTCTGCTGTATTATGTTTTTTTGAAGAATATTTCAATGATTATTTCAAGTTACTTTAATTTACATATCATCATTTTAATTATAATCTCTATAATTAGTTTAATCTTTTTTATATAAGTTTTGTATCGCAAAGTAATAATGTAAATAATACAAAGTCAAGAAAAATTATATTATAAGAAAAATATTGCACTTTACAATTCAACGATATGATGTATATTTCGTAAAAAATATATAACAATATATATTACGCAACAGGAAACTTACCTTGACCACTTCTTTTAAAATGAAGGCAATATGTTCCTCTTGTATTCTTTTGTTACTTGCGATTATCCCACGAACGAGGTCCATGATTGTTCCACCTTCGCAGAGCTATAACATGTTGTTAGTTAATTATATTACATTCGAGTTAAAAAATCTAAATTAGATGAAAAGAGGTAACCGCAAAATTGCGTTTATTTATCGAATTCGAGCTTAAACTCGTCATAAATGTTATGAACGATTCATTGCTTATACAATTATTGTTGTATAATAATTCTTAATCTTTTTACTTATGATGTAATTGTGCAACATAAGATTGATATATGTTAATTGAAATGCCATTCTAATTGCGGAAGTAATTTATATCAGTGAGTAAGATTAGAATTAAGTTCCACATATACTTGTTCTTCTTCTGCAAGGGAATCTTTGGATAAAATATCTTCGAAAATAGAGTTTTCTCTTAATTCTCGTTTTTTTTTGCGAATTATGCTTAAATGTGCATAAAATTTTTATTATATACTAATTTTTGGATATTTTTTATTAGATACGTTTCATGAAAGTTAATTTAAAAGTTAAGTAGAAAAAGATTCTCGTAATCTGTTTCTCCCTAGAAATTAAGACTAAGCATCTAGAGAACTTATAATCGAAAAGTGTAATAAACTTCGCGTATATATGTCTACAATTACATGAAACGTGCGGTAATCATGAGTAAACGTGATCCATTGCTACGTTTATGTTACCCTAGACTGTTTCATACGAATCACAATTTGTAACAAAGATTTAACCCTTTTTTTCACATCTTTAATACATATTTTATTTAATCTCACTATTTTCTCAAATTAAAAAGATTTATTATTCTTCTCATACAGAATATATTTATATAAAATTCTCACTAGAGCTCACTTGTACTTAATCCTGTTCTGATTACAATTTTGTGTTCAGTTTTGTTAAAGTTATTCGTGAATAGCATCTTATTCGTATATGAGTGACAAAAAGAAGAACCTTTTCCTCAGATTTTACTCGTAGTAGTCGCGAAAAGCTTCGCCGAAACCTTACGTTCGCGCCAATAAAACTCGCTCGATATGAAATAACACCGGCGATAAATCTTTGCCACATTGTCGTTGCACGTCCCCTCTTTTTTTTGAAGTTCTCAGCCTTGTTTCTGCTTGAGCCCTCTTAAAGCCGATTGACTTACAAAGTTGCTATTCGGTCCACATCGTACCGTCGACGAAATACATCACATCTCCTTTCTATCGCTATATCAGTCTCCGCGGCCAGTTGCTCCTTTATTGCTTGTAATCTCCGGCAACGAGCAATCAGCGAGCTTAACGTAGCAACCGGCTACTCATTACGTTTCTTCGTTGCGGATACTTAGCTCGTCTCCGAGCCTCGCACGCGAGTTCGATTGCCGAAGTGATTCATGAAATTCAGGCGGATTTCGTCGTTTTCGACGTGTTCACACGTCACTTTTGAATCTGTGCGAGACGTGAGAAAGAAAGAGAGAGAGAGAGAAAAATTGATCGAGAATGTGGGTGGTCGAAATTAAAATTGTAAGAAATTTTCGTAAGCAAACAAAGATATCAAATGAGAGTGGATTACTGTACGAATGATTATAAATTAATTGAGATTGTGTTTGTTTAGTAGTATTTATGAAATTAAGTATAATTTTCTAAGTTTTTTTTTTGGAATATGTTTTTCCGTTCAAATTAATATTTGTAGATTTTCATATATGAAACTTCATAAACAAAACTATTGCAAAAGAAGATGGTGACGTTGAGTATATAACTTCGTCTCTTTTTTCTCTCTTTCTCTCTGTTTTTTATCAAATTAAATTTGATCAATAAAGAAACTCGAAATGTTAGAGAATATTTTCTTCCATATTTTATACATTTATAATTTTTCTTATTTTTATATTATTGAGAATATATCATATATTTTCATGACAGTATAATTTCGAAGTTAATGTTAAAGAAAGTACATCTTATTGCCAGTGCTATATTGTGTAAATTTAAAAGTTGATAAAAGTTAATGAAACGACTTTCTTTAAGAAACTTTTTGTGCATCGACGTGTTTCGAACGACAAGGCGTGACCAAAGGATCCCGATTTCTGAGACAACTCAGCGGATTTTTGAGTGCATGTATTACGTCAACTCTATCGTCGCTTTATCCGAGATAAGTAATAACATTTTGGGCACACACCGCGGAGGTCCGTCCGTAAATTAGAGCCGCGACGTGCCGAACCTCACCTGCGTACACGAACGAGTTTAATGATTGTTTAATGGGGGCGCGTGTGTCGTAAATTATCCGTGTATTCGACGGTCTCAAATGCTTGAAATTGCCTCCGGGTTCTGAGCACGGATATACATGGCAACCCTCGTTTTCTCTTCCTCTCTTTCACTGTCTCTTTCAAACCGCCTTCATCTTTCGTTCTGTATCTCTATATTCCGTGTCCTCTTTTTTTTTCCTATGTCTTTCTCTCGTTGAAAAATTACCACTTTGGAGGAAACATTACGAGGTATATTGCGCGACATCGATAGAAACTTTGCTGCGATTTCGACCTTCGGTGCAGTAATAAAAGTGATTGCAACTATAATAACACGTCTTGGAACAGAGCCTATATAAATGAGCTCCATTCACGATGCTAAATTATTTTTTATGATTTGGAGTATTAGTCACTTTATAATGTACAAATTATACTTCCATATTACATATAACTCTGTAAGCTTTTTATATTTTTCTATATATATATAATTATTTTTTTATTTTATAATCTAAAGCTTCTTACCTCCATGACAAACCATATTTCGTCGTAATCGGATTTCTTCGATGATCGTTTGCGATATATTCCATAGAAATCCGGCAGATTTGGATGACCGGCGAAATCACGAAGAATACGATATTCCTCTACAATGAAAGATTGCGTTTCCGGCGTGAGCTTTTGAATCTTAATGGCAACTTTTTTATTTCCTGAAACATAATCGATATGTATTTATCTCTGTATGTGATTATTCTTTGTTGTGGCAGATAGCAGTTTTCCTACGTTTCTGTATTTATGTTAGGGATGTACCGGTACTCACAGCCTTGTCTGGCTTTTTTACTACCCGGCCGGATAGCTGGATATCGTTAGTATCCAGCAATAATATATGTATATATCCGGCTGAAGTTTTATATTCACAGTTCGCGTCATGCAAAATTCTATTCTTTTCAGCTGAACTTCTTACACAGTTTATCTCTTTCCTCTTTTTCTTTTTACATTGGAAAGATAAAGAAAATTATTATAATTATTTTTCTCTTGCTTTCTTTTTTTCCTTTTCTTTTTTAAAAATAGAATGAAGAAATTGCACCGGATATTCGGAAAATATTTGGTTGCATGTTGGATATTTAGTGTCGTATTCTTTTTGGATATTTGGTATCCAGCAATTTTACAATCCCTAATTTATATTGTGATTTACATTTTTATGATTTTATTTCATGTATAGACAGAATATATGTCCTATTGTTGCGTACCAGCTTGGTGATCAATTCCTTCGTAAACGTCGCCGTAAATGCCGGTACCAATGCGATCCTTTAGTGCATATCTTTTTCCTGGATCTTGAATGCTGTCCAATCGTTTAAGAGTCACAGATCCTGTTTCCCGGTTCTTACTCCGATTTTCCATTTCCCTCTGTTCATCTTGGACGTTATCGTGCCAATCGTTTTCTCGTTTTCCGAAATCATTCATTTTGCAGATAGACAGCGTCTACCATCTGAAATATGCCAGAATAGAAACTCCCCCAAACTATTTATATAAATTATTTCAAATATTTAATAATGATTAAAATGTACGCATATGCGGAAAAAAGTATTTTGCAAATGATCATTTTTATGCAATTAGAGATTAAAAAATTTGAAATATTATATATGTATAATAATGTCTAGATTTCTTTGAAATAAAATATTATTAATTTTATGACATAATTAAATAATTAAATGCAAATTTAATAATTAAATTTTAATTTAAAACAAGCAGTATTATTTAATAAGAATGACAATAGAAGAGCATATTATATTAAAGCTTCGATAAATTACTTTATTAACCAATGTATAATTTTTCATGATATACAGATTATGTCGCACGAATTTCTGAATTTTTTTTTTTTTTCAGAAAACTGATGCTTATAGATGCAATACTTGTAAACGTCGATGATAAAGAAATACATCGTCACATCTTCAGAAAAATACATTTTCCTCTTGGATTAAGTCGCAGGATTGAAAAGATGACTCTTCGCTCTTGGAATATTTTAAGAGACGTCAAGATTGGGTTGGTCGAGTGTTTTAGCAGTCCCCGCTTCCTTGGCCCACAAAGGTGAGTGCTAATTATATTCTCTCTCGAGTGCCCCGTGAACGAGTGGTAATCGCTAATTAGTAGCTTGCTTCCTGAAAGCTTCGGCGGGCGTTGCCGGAGAAGAATAGGGCGAAGAAAGGATCGGAAAGGCGTCGTTGACCACGAACCTGACTCGCATCCCTGTCTGTTTATCGATCGTACGTTTTAATCGAATTATACAAAGCTTATTATATGCGCGTTGAGATTTAATCGAATTCCTTTTACACAAACAAATTAACACACGTTCATCGGAATTTTTCTCAAAGTGAAAATTACTTTCCTTAATTTGCAAGATGAGAAATAATTATAAGACATTAAAGTCATCATTTTCGTATCAATAAACATTTTCAATTTTGTTAATAAAATGAAATAAAATATAATATTTTGCAAATATTTTCATAAATATAGGCAACTGTTCTAGAAACGACAAATTAATTCATAAACTTATCATTTATTGACCGAATATTGATACTAATTGTAAAATTTAAAGGGCTATGAAATGTTGTACGGATATAGCCTATTTATTGCATATATGTTATACTACATATTAAAATAGTGAATAGTCAACTATAAGTTATTACATCCTGACAATTTATTTTTAGATATTTTTCTCGTAGCTTATGCTTTAGCATAATCCATTTATGAGTTACTCCGATTGTCTTCATTTCTCTTCTCTTGTTTTTTTAGGGCGCAGTTGGTAAGCTTCATGAAAGCATGTTGTTTCAAATCGGATTATCTCTCTCTCTCATTCAGTTCAAAATACTATCACATAATAAACGAGTATATTTCTTATTCTTTTTTTTCTTAACAATTTAATTTAATTTTATGATATAAAATAACGTGTTTTATGGTATATTTCTGCATAAATTTTATTTTTTGATGATTGTTGATCTTCGAAGATGCGATCACCAGTTAATTTAATGATATGCTCCGTTAATTATCGCGAATTAAGAGTTACACCTTCGCGTGTCGGTAAAAAATTAATCTACCATTTCCTTGACACGTATCCTCGGATCGCCACAAACTCGTATAAATCCCTAGCTATGTACAAGTCGGCAAGGAAATCGTCGAGTACGCAGGGCGAGAAAAGAGAGGAGGCACGTTGTTAGCCAATTCATTTATTCCCGGTAGGTCGGCGCCCGTCTGGCATAATCCATCGATTTGTCGGCACGACGTGTCCCGTGTAATGCCGCTTCTTGTAGCTTGTAATCGAGTCGGAGGAAAGGAGAGCGACTCGAGCGAGAGGACGGCGCGTCACTGACTATATGTGATCGGCTGTAAGAAAAGCCACTCGATCCGGAGAAGGTTCACAGTTCCATCCTCCATCTTCTCCTCCTCCTGTTACTCCCGGCGCCCTCCAGGATCTTCCTGTCTCTTTGTCTTTTCACCTTCCCTCTTCGTCCTGGGCTGGTCCTGCGTCGTCTTTCTTTTCGTTTTGCACCGATGCTAGTTTATCGATACGGTGGGGCGCTAAATTATTGATGCCTGACTGCACGTCGCGAGACAACGAAGAAGGAAAGGAGGAGGTGGACGTGAACGGATCCTGTGATTTCAGAAAAAAGTTTTCCGCGTCACTCGGTCCATCACCGGTCTTCCCGCTGCTCCTTCTCGCTGTCTTCGGCTTGTCCTCTTCTGCGTATTAAACAAGCGAGGTGAACTCGAGCCTGCGCTCTTTAAAAGGAAGGAAGAACTGCGGGACGACGAAACGCATGTTGTGAGAAAGTTTCGCGCGATATGTACGAGGAACCATTGCGAGGTATGTGTTAATAGGGATGAATTTACAATCTCTCTGATCTTTTCTGACTTGGCTTTATTCTGAGAAATTGATGCTTATTGTCCGTTTATGTTGCTTCATGGAAAACCTATTTGAATAATCGCTACTTCTTGAGAAGGATTATTATTACTATCATTAGATAAATGCTATTCTCGATTCCCTGTAAGTTTCCAGCGTCACTATTGCTAAGAAGGTATTACCATAGTACTGATTATACTTTTTTTTTTAAAAATGATGGTAATTGGGTAAGGCCAAACCCAATCCATAGCATTCCAGAAATTGAATTTAATCGCACAACCGTGTTGAGTAACGATTGATTGGTATATATCGATACACGCAAGGTAACGGCAAGGTGTAATGCCGCAAGGCAATCGCTGATCTGTTGCAACCTTCATTTGCATTTCCCACGTGATCAATCGACGTATGCAACGTATAGAGATCAATAGGCTTTCCAACCTTCATTTCTGCGTTTCTGCGAAATTGTACGTTCGCTTCTCCAAAAAGCACCTGTGGGAAAGTTGATATCTGTTCGGCTTGGAGGACGGTCGCCTGCCACAGCGGAATGTTAGCACCGCGAATCCCTGGGAAGAAACGGCAACGGTAGTAGAGTGGTAGAAGAAAAAAGAGGAGGGAGGGGGACAGGGGACCGAAAACGAGCGTCGTCGGATCCGACCGGACTTGGGACCAGTTGAAAAGGGTTCGGCACTCCTCTCGCTGGTGAACCGCTGACAAGTGGTTCGCTCGCTTCTCTCCCGTGCTCGTGCAAGAACCGCGCACTTACAGACGGCGTAGCAGCGTTAATCGTTTATTCCCTTTCCTTTTCTTTTGCACGACCAATTATTACTATCACAATTGAAATACCTAGAGAGCTTTCGCTTAGTTTCATAATGGATCCTCAATATGGTAAATCATTGCTCGAGTGACGTAGCAATCCTGTAAGGTATCGCAGTGCGTGAAATTAACGCGAGTTGTTCCTTTGTTTTATTTTCCAGATCTCCCTTTCTTTATTTTTAAAAAATTCTCCTTTTGTGTAATTTAAACTCTATTTCTCGTTTTCGACGTTTGCAAAGAAGCAATCACACGGGTCAAGTCTTTTCGCATGTTCGAACTATTCACGGCGTAGAAATGCGGATCGATCTCGAAGGCGTCTACGCTTTACGCGCTTCTTTCTTGCTTTGCGCCTTCTGCCTTTTATAGACGCTCTGCGATCGATGCTTTCGGCAGATAAAGTGTCAACTTGTTCGTAGATTCTGAGCTTGAAGTGTTGCAGTTCTCGCGTTCTTATCTCGAACAATCGTAGCAACTGTACGTTATTTCCATCAACGAGCTAATTGATACTGGGAACTTGGTCACTTGGTCTTTTCTTCGTCGAAGCTCATGTAACATTTAACGTCGGTGTATTTTTTGGGTTCGTGCGAGCAGGGAGAGGCTCCATCTTGGTCTTTCTTCGGTTGCCTTTATTTCATTCTTTCGTTTTAACAATGTCGATATTAGAAATGTTGATACGAAAGACATACAATTTTTTGCTTCGCTTTAAAACACAACATGAGATATCTATTGTATAAATGTTATAAAATATCATAAATGAGAAATAAGTACTTTTACTGCCACATGAAAATCATATTGACAATCTTCTTCTTTTAATACAAGGTATTTTAAGTTTACATTTGAGGTCTAAGATAAACATAGGTCCCCTAAAACCCATATTTCTGAGATACAGAACGTTGAAGTTTCACAAAAAAATCACATTTTCTTAAAAATTTCAGGTTATACCTGATATAAATCCATAAAACTTGGGTGAATAATCTATCCATAATATGTAGATCAAATATAATCTAAGATATTTATGAAATGTATTTTTTTGTGAAACTTATTGTCTTGTATCTCGGAAACTATTGATTTTAGAATCTATGCTTGACTTGGCTTTTGGATCTTAAATGATCTAAAGAATCGCCTTCTGAAGTTTAGATTAAAAATTCCGTATATCTTATCATTTTTGTAGTAATACATGGCAACTTTGTTTCAATAATATTTTAAAAACATCTAAAACTATAGAATGTAAACATTTTGTGAACGATGTTATTTTTGTGACTTCTTATTTTAGTCGCTATTCAAATACCTTCTTTATACTTGCTTTATATTTTAAAAGTTAGAGAATAGAAATTACAACATATTATTATGTATTGGAATGTGTTTAATATATTTACTTGATTTATTATACAGAGACGATCTTTAAAAAAATCTATGAATGTGGATGTATAAGAGAACTGATAATATGTTGCAGATTAAGCTCAAGTTAAATTTTTATCTTTTATTAAGTATTCGTTAGTGCGACTATTATATATTTTTCTTTCTATTGTTCGAACAGAAAGAATAAAAACGATTATCTGCACATATTACCCGCCTAAGTTTAATCGCGACACATTTAATTATTTGCCAAGTACCGATTACACTCTTTGTATGTTATTCTTCGTCACGTCCGCACTCATAGACTTCATTATTTTTCGCGTATGCGCGACTTTTCTCGTATCGTATGGCCCTCGCATTCGCGATAGGCGTGGTGATGACAAGAGGAGGGTGTGCGAAAATTGTA